TGCAAGGTCAGTTCAACATACTAAAATTAATCAATTTAATACACCTCATTGATAAAATAAAGGAAACCCCCACATGGTAAGTTCAATAGATGCAAACAAAATTTGGGGATGCCCGGCCAGGTGGCTCAGTGGTTAAGCACCGACCCATGCACCAAGAGGTCACTGGTTCCATTTCCAGTCAGGGCACATGCCCAGGTTGTGGGCCAAACCCCCAGTGGGGGGCGTGTGGGAGGCAGCCAATCGATGTTCTCTCTCATCGATGTTTCTCTCTCTCTCTCCCTCTCCCTTCCTCTCTCTAAAAATAAATAAAAAGAAAAAAATTTTAAATAAAAAAAAAGCATTTGAGCCCTGGCCAGTTTGGCTCAGCGGTTAGAGCGTTGACCTGCGGTCTGGAGAGACCCGGGTTCGGTTCCCGCTAAGGGCACGTATTTTGGTTGCAGTTTTTCCCCAGCCCTGGTTGGTCGTGCGGGTGGCAGCCACTCGATGTGTCTCTTCACGTCGATGTTTCTCTCTCTCTCTCTCCCTTCCTCTCTCTCCCTCCCACTCTATCTGTACAAAAAAAAAAAAAAAATGGAAAAACATCCTCGGGTGAGGATAAAAAAAAAAAAGCATTTGAGGAAAAAAAAACAATACCCTTTAATAAGAAAAACACACAAATAACTAAGAATAGACAGGAAGCTCCTCAACCTAATAAAGAGCATTTATAAAACATTCACAGTTAACTTTATACTTAGTAGTGAAAGTCTGAAAGCTCTTCCCCTGATATCAGGTACAAGACAAGAATTTCTACTCTCACCACCTCTACTGAACATTGTGTTGAAGGTTCTATCTAGGGTGGTTAGATTTAAAATGAAATAAAAGACATCTAGATAGCAAAGGAAGAAGTAAAGCTATATTTGCATGTGACATGATCTTATATATAGAAAATCCTAAGGGCTACACATGCACAGAAACTACTAGGATGATAAGCAGTTGCAGGGTGCAAGATTTACATGCAAATATCCACTGTATTTCTGTAAACATCAGTGAACGATCTGAAAGTAAAATTAAGAGGATAATTCCATTTATAATAGCATCAGAATACATTTAACAAAAGAAGTGAAAATGTTATATTCTAAAATCTACAACACCCGGTTGAAAGGAATTAAAGGAGACCCAAGTAAATGAAAGTCATTTATGTTCGTGAATTCCAAGACATGATATTGTTAAGATGGCAGTTCCGCCCAAACTGATCTACAGAGTCAACATACTCCCTACCAAAATCCTAGCTGGCTTCTTGGCCGAAATTGAAACACTGATGCTAAATTTCATATGGAAAAACAAGGAACCCAAATAACCAAAACAATCTTGAAAAACATGTTTAGAGGACTCACACGTCCCAGCTTAAAAGTTATCACAAAGCAGTACCCAGCACAATGGCCGTCTGGCGCAGGCTAGACCTACTTATCAGTCAGTAGAACAGAACTGAGGGTCCAGAAAAAAACCCTTATGTTTGTAGTCCATTGATTTCGAGCAAGAGTGCCAAAATATGCAATGTGGAAAAATAATGTTTCCACAAGTGGTACTTGGACAACTGGATACTCATTTCATGTAAAAGAATGAAACTGAGCCCTGGCCGGTTTGGCTCAGCGGTTAGAGCGTCGGCCTGCGGTCCAGAGAGACCCAGGTTTGGTTCCCGCAAGGGCACGTACTTAAGTTGCAGTTTGTCCCCGGCCCTGGTTGGTCGTGCGGGTGGCGGTCACTCGATGTGTCCCTTTCACATCGATGTTTCTCTCTCTCTGTCTCTTCCCGTCTCCCCCTCCCACTCTATCTGAACACACAAAAAGAAAAAAGAAAAAAAAAATGTCCTTGGGTGAGGATAAAAAAAAAAAAAAAAAAGAATGAAACTGAACCCCTACTTCACATCACATGCAAAAATCACCTCAAAATGGCTGACTGGCCTAAATATAAGAGCTAAAACCAAGTAACTATAGTAACCCCTAATCCACAAGGGATATGTTCCAAGACCCCCAAGGAACATCTGAAACTGTGGATAGTACCCAACCCTACATACGTACTGTTTCTTGTACATACAGACTTTTTCACTTAAAGAAAGCATCGTATGGCTCCGCTTTGGCATATCCAGATCACCAGCATCACTACTTTTGCGCTTTGGGGCCACTATTGAGTAAAATGAGGATGATGTGAATATAAGCACTGTGATCCGTCTACAGTCGATCTGATAACCAGGACTACTACATGACTCTGGGTAGGGAGCATGGAGATCCTGGACAGAGGATAGCTGAAGTCCCAGGAAGGGTGGAGGGGGACAGAGTGAGACGTCATGCTACTCAGAACAGCACGCAGTTCAAAACTTCTGAATTGTTCACTTCTGGAATTTTCTATTTAATACTTTCGGACCCCGGTTGATTAGGGTTGACTGAAACTGTGGAAAGAGAAACCAGGGACAACAGGATGCTGCTGTCATTAACTGCTTGGCGGACCCACACAAATCCGTATCGTGTGCTTTCTCTGTGCCACGTTCTGTGCTAGACACGAAGTCTGCCCACGTGGAGCTCACGGTCACAACATCATGCCCTTCTGAACCTACTGCAGAGTCTTTCGAAACCCCCAAAGCTTAGGTCTCTGCTCTAAAAGATCCTCCTGGAAGGCCCACCATGTTAAGAATCTGCCCCCAGAATTCAAGATGCTTTGGAGGCTGCAGGAATTCTGGTACTAAGAGGGCTGTTGCCAAGGTCAGAATAGTACAGCTGGCTAGTCCTAGACTCAACATTGTAGAACTAGAAGGTACCTCCTTCAGTTGAACTTCATCAATGGGGCAGCCAAGAAGAGAAATGACTGGTTTAAGGACACGTCACGAGGCCACGGCAGGATGACTTCTAGACGCCCACTCTAGCTCTGGTGGCTCCTCTCCCAGCTCTGTGGCTTCTGTCTTCCTCCAGTCACTTCTTGGACCGCCTGCAGCCCCACTTCGGACCTCCTCTCTATCACCCCCGTCACCTAAGCAGCACAGTGATCCTTCACACTGGCCTAAGCAAGGCCTCCGTCGTCTGTGCTCACAGCATCCAGGGCTTCTTCTCCGGCTCACCCTGAAGACTGCAGTGGTCTCTGACAACTGGGGGTCGGAGGAAGGCAGTGGGCTAGGTGATGGCTGGGAGCAGTGATTAACCCGAGACTGAGTTTATACACAGTGAGAGGTGGCGAGTATTTGCCACCCACTCTCCAGTCCCTTGAAATCCGGCTTTCCCAAAGCGCACTACTATGAGGCCGCACCATGAACAACATGACTGTTTCGCCTCTAAGGTTAAGACAAGCCTGACTTCTGGATCTGCCCCAGAGTTATCCAAGCTCCTGGCGTATCCTGGAATGGAAGCAAGGACAGCATTGGGACCGGACCTCCTGTCTCCTTACATGCTGCAAGGATCAAAAACTCCCTTCCTGGGACTGCAGACATAGATAATGAGAGATTTACAGGGCACCTGATTCTTTTAAGAGAGGGAGAGGAAGACAGAGTTGGGGGGGGGGGGGGGGCAAGGGAAGAGAGAAAGAGCCTTATCTGATTATTCATGATCTGATTACCCAGGTGCCTAAGGTTGCCAGATTACCATGTTGCCTAGAAAAGCCAAATTATAATTTAATTAGCTTCTCCTCAACCACCTCTCTCTGCTCAACACTAGCAATTATCTCTGCTCTATTTTAGAAGTCATTCATAATTATGAATTCAATGCTACAATGCTAATCTGTTGCAAAATGCAATTGAGTGCCTTGCAAACCATGTAGAATTTAATAGAACGAATTAAGGCTTGTTAGAGAGCAGAGCTGCACGTGCCCCTGACGAATGGGGCTCAGGCAGATGAGACCGGTGAGGAGCCGGGAAGAGAAAGTCAGGAGGCAGCAGGATGCTTTGAGAATAACTCCAATACCAAAAGGTTAAAAGAAGCCTTTGGGTAAAAAAGTTAGGTTTTGGTATATTTTTGCAAAGATGAGCCTATTAAAGAGATTGCTGAAAAGTTAGTCACAAAACAAAGGATGTTTCATTGTACCATTAAACAATTTTGTCAACACAGTTAAGCTAAACAGTCAACACTTCTTATGTTGTTATTCCAAGACTTAGTCCATAGTTGTAGTTAAAAACTAAGTATTCTTAACGAAAAAGTGAAAGAAAATTTGGTTTTATAATTTCCAGTTTCATTTTAGAGGTAAAGGCTCAAACAAACTTTCTTTACCGCACAATTTTTTCAAAAGATTTTTTTTATTGATTTTGAGAGAAAGAGAAAGGGAGAGGGAGAGGGAGAGAGAGAGAGAGAGAGAGAGAAACATCAGCTGGCTGCCTCCTGCACGCCCCCTACTGGGGATGGAGCCTGCAACCCAGGCATCTGCCCTGACCGAGAATCAAACTGGCGACCTTTCAGTGCACAAGGTGACACCCAACCAACTGAGCCACTCCGGCCAGGGCTTTACTGTGAAATTTTACATCCCCTGCTTTCAGTGAATTTATTTATCTTAAGTATCCTTTCTCTAATACCAACTGTCTTTAGGTAAGGAAGACCTGAGGGTTCCACCATCCTGGGTATAACGGCCACCTCTCTGAATTATACATCCTCAGCCACGGGCACGTGATGACTTGTTATGAAAACACAGAAGTAACTGTAACAGAGGCAACATTACCGAGCCCTTTCTATGTATCAGGTACTGTTCCAAGTGTCCCATGTGCATGAACTCACTTATTTCTCACAAAAATACTACAGCATAGATAGATGCCACCACGTCCTCTTTTGACCGATGAGGAAGCTGAGGCATGGAGAAATTAAATAACTTGTCCAAAGGTAGTGATGGACACACTGGGCTGGCCCCCTGTGGCAGCTGCAAAGCCCATCTCTTTCCCTTGATACCACAAACACACCATGGGCGTCTGCATTTGACTTCCTGGGGGAAACAATACTGTTTCTCCCTAAGGAAAAAAACAATGTTTCTAGGACTGTCCCTAAGCCCAGACTCACCTGGCCGTGTTTAGGTTCCGATAGAGCTGCCCGAGGGACTCCAGCAGCTGCCCCTCCATCTCCCGGTCCCTGAGTTGCTGAGCCAGAGTCAGCCAGTGCTCGTGGTAGGTGATGCATGCCTCGGGGCTTGGGGACACAGAGCTGTAGAAATGGCAGAGGGATTTGGTGACCTGAAGCTGACCTGAACATAAAGCAGGAACATGAATGAGATGACCTGAGATTGGACAAGGGCAAAACGTGCTCTAACACTTTTCTCTCAAGTTTCCCAGCAGCAGGGGACATACTCACTCTTTAGGTGTCGATGCCTTAAGCCAAACAGCAATGCCATTTCATAGCAAAGGCGGCCACTGGCCAGCTGGCGTTCGCACACCAGGACCTGGGCCAACCAAAGAAGCACCTGTACTAATTCCATGTCTGTCTCCACACTGGCCTGCAGCTTACAATAGAGTTGGATGGCCTGTAGGATGTAGTCTCGGGCTAGATGCTGAGCCCAGGACTTAAGGGACAGGTGGCCAAGATTGGCCAAAGTCACTGCCTGGTTACGCACATCCCCCATCTCCCGGGCTCTGTTCAAGGCCCGGAGATAGTTCTTGGTGGCTCTGTTCACCCGGCCTTCACCTTGAAGTGCAAGTCCCAGAAGGTTATGGACCACCCCCTTTTGGGTAACATTGTCTGTCTCCTTCAGGGAGTGTAGGAGTGGATGGAGGATGTCCAAAGCCTTCTTCGCCTGGCTGGCTAAGAGGTAGGCCCATGCCAAGCAGAGGGAAGACTCAAAGGCTTCCTGCTCACCCAGCAGCTGCCCGAGCATCAAGGCTTGGCTCAGGTAGTGAATGGCACCCTCAGGAGACCTGTGCTGGAGGTACACTCTGGACAGGATGAGACACAGGGCCCTCTGGGTTCGCTGATCCGCCTGCTGCTCGCAGACAGCCAGCGCCTGCCTGAGCGCCGGACAAGCAAGGGTGGACACTTCATTCCCGCTTGAGGAGGTAACACCACGGAGCTTGGAGGCATTCTGGAGGACCAGGTGGATCTGCCAGATCAGCAGGGACATCCTGTGGGCACTCTGGGGACCACGCTGCCGGACAGAGGCCACTGCAAGGTGTGGAAGGTATTTCTTATCATACAGAAAGCTCAGGATGGTGGCCACAGCATCCGAGGCGGGAGGGTGTCCAGAGAGAAGCTGCAGGCGTTCAGCGAAGGGCAGGACGTCCTCGTGCCGGCCGAGGCTCAGGAGCAATCGGATGGCCAGGAAGCAGGCCCTGGCCTCCAGGGGGCAGCTGCCGGACGCAATGCCCTGGCGCAGCACGTAGGCCACCACTTCGAGCTCGTTCTTGGCACTCGACTCACGGTCAGGCAGGCAGGCCAGCAGGGCCCCGGCCTTGTCCAGCAGGGCCGAGCCTTTTTGCCTTAGCCTCTGCCTCAGGTAGATGGCCGCCAGATTGATGTACAGAGCAGCCACCAAGGACAGGTCCTCAAATGCCCCACTGAGAATGTGGATGGCCTCCTCAAAGTACACCCTGGCCTGAGAGAGCTTGACCTTCCTGACGCTCAGCCGGCCCAGGAGGAAGCAGAGCCGGGCATGGGCCCAGGTCATGTGGCTCCGCTTGGCCCACTTCCTTGAGGCCTCCAGGTAGACCACCAGCTCGTCCTCCTCGGAGAAGCTATAGAAGGAAGATGTGAGGAAAGAGAAGGAGAAATCGTAGAGGCTCTTAAAGTGGTCGGCGTAACCCTCGTGATTCAGGAAGGCCAACATGGGGGCGAAGTGCTCAGCCTCCTCCTCTGCCCCACCCGAGTTCAGGTCCATGAGCAGTTCCGGGTCATCAAGGTCGTCTGGCTCGGGCAGGTGGTAACTGTCTGAGCCGGCAGAGAGGAGCTCCTCCAGGCTGGAGTCCTCGGAGCTGCTGGACCGTCGGGAGCCCGTGGCCCGATGCTCCTCCCAGGCCCCGCCAGGCCGGGCCTCCTTGAAGCCCTCGGGCTGGGACGCTGTAAGGGACAGGCAGAGGGGAGCCACCCTGAGCACCTGCTCTCGGCAGGGGGCCAGGATGCTGTCCTGGAGGACTGGCGGTCAGGGTCGGCATGACCTCTACTCACCACTCAGATCATGTGGAAGGTTCTGGATGGATTCAAACGCACCTGGAGAGAGACGAAGGACAGGCCCGGGTTAGGTCCGTGGCCACCGAGCCTATGCCTGCGGGTGGTCCCCACACGGGTGGCCCCTGGGAACCTTTGTGTTTCAGGGTCAGGCCATCAGCCACCTTAGGACGGGGCAGACTTCTCCCCTTCTTCATCAGTTTGGAGCGGCTGGAACCTGAAGATTATCTCACTGAACCCACTCCCTTCACAGCGGGGAACTGAGGTGGAAATGAGACCCGGAGTCAGGGAAGAAAAGCTGAGCACACGAGCCCTCGGCCTAGAGGCGTGGGAACGCCGAGCGGTGCTGCCCGACAGTTTTACGACAGAGCCGTGAACAGACCTCCCCGTGCAGCGCACTTGGCGGCACGTGGCGCTGCCCCCATCCCCGTGTGTCCTGGATCCTTCTTCCTCCTTCGACCATCGCCCAGCCGCCCAGCAGACACTGGTGTGGGGTGTGCAGTGCGCTCTGACGGGACGAGGCGCCCAGATGCAAACAGTGGAGAAAGAAAGCGAAGGTGCACCTGAGGGCGGAGCTTTGTTCGCCGACATAGCTTAGTGGGATGGGGCAGAAGGAGGGACAGTCTTGGGCCCAGTTTTAGACACTTGGAGTTTGCAGTACTTGCAGGAGCTCTAGACAGAGGATGAAATGGATCTGGCTGGAGAAAAGTTGGCAGAAGGAGACTGAAAAGGCACCGTCAGAGGTCAGAGGAGAGACACGGAGACCAGGCTGCCCTATGCTGCCGCCACTTAATGTCACAAAAGTGAAACAAGACGAGGTGAGGACCAAGAAGTCATGAGTTTGGCGGCAGAGAAGCAAACCCTCTTGCAGCTGTGGGGGCAGACGCCAGAGTCATGCTCCCCTGGACAGGGGCTGCTGAAGGAGACTCCACCTCTTCCTGGCAGAGAAGCCAAAGCCCCACTCTGGGCTCACCACTGAACTCTGAGGACATCGGGGCCCTTACCAAGTCCTTCCTCTGCCTTCTGTTCTCTGGGGAAGGCTTTTTCTGCAAGTGTCATTGCAGATACTTGAGATCTGCAACCTCCAAAGGGGAGAAGGCCCCACAGGCAAACACAGGAGAGCTAGATGTTCAGTACCCCCCCCCCCCCCCCCACTGAGGACACAGCGTCTTACTGCAGCCATTTCTCTCCGGGCCAGGACCACCACAGTGCATGTGCTACAAAAAGGTGCTCCTTCTGCCCTGGCCAGTTTGGCTCAGCGGTTAGAGCATCGGCCTGCCGTCCTGAGAGACCCGGGTTCGGTTCCCGCTAAGGGCGCGTACCACGGTTGCGGTTTGTCTCCGGCCCCGGTGGGTTGTGCGGGTGGCAGCCACTCGATGTGTCCCTTCACGTCGATGTTTCTCTCTCTCTCTCTGTTCCTCTCTCTCCCTCCCACTCTACCTGAACAAAGAATGGAAAAATGTCCTCGGTGAGGATAAAAAAAAAAAAAAAGTGCTCCTTCTACAGGAAGAATGGCAGAGAGGCAGTTCTTCCATGGGGCAGAGGCCTTGGGGAGCTGGAATTTACCAGGAGGATGCGCCCTCTGCTGGTGGCCGTGGTGCCAAGAGCAGCCCCACAACCAGGAGGCACAGCCCTGCATCCTGCTGAGTTGGTCTTTAGATAAGGGCTGCCTGGAACCTGCTCCTGGATCTTCCCAACCACGGGATCAGTGGTTGGTGGATATTTTAGATCCAAGTCTATAGCCACCCTGCCCATTGACACACCCCTGATTTTCAGATCTCAGCTCCCACCTAGCAGACAGACCCCTAGTTTCAGATTCCCGACTCAGCTTGGTGGGACAGTGTGATTGCAGGGCTGGCCTGATGCCTGAGTAGGTGCTCCTCACGAACAACCCTTGTGCACGGAAAGACCGGCTCCCACCTCTGCTCCTGGGTGCTGGCCAGAGGGTCCCTCCTGCAGAATTTCTGTCTGTACCCACCAAACATGCCCTAACTCATCTTGGGACATGGAAGTAGATGCAACATCACCATCGCTGAAGAGATGGGAGAAACCCTTCCTCAGACCACTGTCAGTGGGAGAATGTACTTTCTAACAGAGCAATGGGCCTTTTCCGAAGGAAGGGAAGGAAGTGTCATTCACTCACTCAATCACCCTGAGGCCGCTGAAAACTGTGCTGGGCACTGAGACCCGTCACCCACCCAAGTCTGACGTACCCAGCAGTCCAATGTCATTTCTGTCAGGGTCAGTGTGAAAGTCGGGATTGTGTGGACTAGAAGATGGGGGAGGGCAGTTCTTATCCTGGCTCAGGCACTAATTCACTTGGGCCTCAGTTTCCCAATCTGTGAAATGGGAGGAGACATCATGTCTTAGGGTCCTTTCAGCTGTAACATTCTGTGCCCCCACCATCATCACTGGGGACTTAGACTTACTTCAGCCCTTGAAGGAGGGACCACAGCCCCAACTCAGGAAGCTTTTCTTCTCCAGGATTGGAATGGAAGGCTCAAAACGCCGACCTCCCAAGTGATAGTTGAGTTGATTTCAACATATCCCACAGTTTCTAGGCAACAAATCCCACCCACACCCAGAGTTGCCTGAAATCTAAAGTGGAAGTGCTGCTAATCAAATAGTAGGCAGGTCATCAGCTGGACAATAACCATAGCCCCAACTTCACAGATGGGTTAGAATGTAAAGATATTCTGTTCCTGGTTAGAAACACTCCCTTAATCCTGAGGAGCTGGGCTTCCCGAGGGGCCGAGGAGCACACACTCACTAAGCCGGTAGACAGACGTGATGTCCGTGTGAGCAAGCGTGTGGAGGAAGCCGGCACACTCGGCTTCCCTGTCACTCCCCAGGGCTCCCAGAGAGCTTCGTTCCTCCTCACTGAAAAAGGCACAGTTCTTGCTCCTGTGTTGAGACAAAAGACAAGGACACAGATGAGTGAAAGGTGCCAGGCACGACCCCTCCCCCCTCCACGTGAGGACAGTGAAGGACAGAGGGGCCATCCACCCACGAGCCACAGTTGAAACCGGGTGGCTCACTGTGGTACGATGCATTAATTCATGCTGCGGGGAAGGGCGCTGTCAGCACCCCTTCCACGGAGAACTGAGCTGTGTGCTGCTGGATGGGTCGAAGTGGGGATGAACACACCCCTCCTGTCAAAACTCTGTCCCCCAAGAAAAACAGTCCCTTCTCTCAACCCCTGCCCACTCTTCGAGACCACTTGGTGCCCGTTCTCAATGGGAGAAACAGGAATTGGCTTCCCTACATGTAAGGGTTGGAAAGGGACCATTAAAAGAAATTTCTTTGTTAGGTTATTTCAAGAAAACACTAGGGACAGGTGACACCATCTAGAGGGATGATGAAGAAAGCATGACTGTGGTCAGAAGGGCCCTTTTATGGCTGCTGGCATCAGAGTCCAGGATACAGAAAAACAGTGTTGTGTGGTGTCAAGAAAGAAATACAGTGCCAAGGGTGAGACGTGGGTAGGAAGAGGACCAGTGGGACCAGTTAGAGCGTCAGCCCTCGGACCAAACGGCCACAGGTTCAATTACCAGTAAAGGGCACGTACCTGGGTTGCAAGTTCGGTCTCTGGCCCTGGTTGGGGTCCTGTGGGAGGCAACCAATCAATGTGTCTCTCTCACATCGATGTTTCTCTCTCTCTCTCTCTCTCTCTCACTCTCTCTCTCTCTCTCTCTCTCTCTCTCTCTCTCTCCTTCCCTCCCTTACACTCTATCTAAAAAGTCAATGGAAAAATATCCTTGGGTGAGGATTAACAACAACAACAACAACAAAAGAGGACCAGGGGGCTAGAAGAAATTATTATAAATAATAAGGATCTTTATATTCACCCTATCTTATAAACTGTTCAAACAAACTTGCTTTCTAGAGATTTGTCTTAGGCTCAAAGAATTTGAAAACTAGAAGTACCTTAGAAAGTGTTTGGCCCAGTATCTATCTGAACAATTTTTAAGATCTATTTTTTACTTTTATTTTTTAATCCTCACCCAAGTATGTTTTACTGATTTTTAGAGAGAGAAGAAGGGGCGAGGAGAAAGAAAAGTCTATCAGTTGCCTCCCCTATGCACCCAACTGGGGATCAAACCCACAACCTAGGTTTATGCCCTGACCAGGACTTGAACCCACAACCATCTGAGCCACCCAGCCATGGAAAACTCTCTTTACTTATAAATAAAGTTTTTTTTTTTAACTTCAGAATCTAATTTTAAACAGAAGTAAATTGGAATCCCAAGAGTTAATAACAGTTAATACTTTTGGGGGGCTGATTACCAATCGAACACTGTTATGTCATTTAATATACACAATTGCCCTTTGAGGCACCTACCCTTTGTCCCCACAGCTCAGATAAATGCAGTCTGAAAGCCAGTGATGAGATAACCAGCAGCTGATGTGACTGCTCAAGGTCACACCACTAATTAGTGGCTGCGTCCTGACATCTGGCCCAGGGTTCTTCCCACACCTGCTGACCCCCATCTCTCTGGCCTGACCTCAGACTCTCCATGAGAGAATTTATCCTCAAAAGGGCATGTACTTAAAGCCTACAGCTGAACTCATTTGAGATAAAAATAAAAAAAGAACTATGCAATCTCAATTCCTGTAGAACTCTTAAATTTTACAAAGCATTCCTGAATTTACATTTCATTTACTCTTCCTAACAGCCCTATGCCGTAGATACTTGTATCCATATTTGGAGAGAAAAAATCAGACAGGTTCGGAATGACAGCTAGAAAGTGGGAATGCTGAGGCCAAAGCTGAGGGCGATTGTCTCAGCGTCCACTGCCTCCCAGCTGATCTGCTGCTGTCCCGAGGCCCGGGTGTTTGGAGAGAGCCGAGGAGGTGGACAAACTGTGAGCGTGATTTCCAGGGTGGAGCAGGGGTGAAGGTGCGTGGAAGGGCCAAGTGCTCCATGTGGGGCTTCTCACCCCACACGCGCACACAAGTCCTGGGTAAAATGTGACAAAGATATCTAGTCTAATACACACTTTAATTTTAAAGGAAAAGAAGGAAATTCCTGGGAGCCAAAAACAAAGGGAGAAACCAAAGCCAGAGTGGGAAGCGAGAGCTTGCTCAGGTCCCTGGGGTTTCTCAGCTGGGACGCTGGCCCTCCCCAGCTGGGGCCGACCTTGTGCCACCCGGCGCTGTGACTTTGGACCTATGTGTAACAGGGACGCTGAACTGTGCTCCCTACATAGCTCTGAACTCCCTGTGGCCTGAAATCTTGATGGGGTACAATCTCCTTAAAGAGGGGGTAGGAAACTTGTCTGCCAAGAACACTTTCCATCTATCTGAGTCCCTAGAAGAAATTTTTTAAAAACTTGGTTTTACACCATTAAAAGATGTGAGACATGAATTTATACTGTAGAGTGCAGGTACCACAATCAGAGAACTTAACATTTGAAAAACAGCCCTGACCATTAAGTTTCTAAGTTTTCAGGGGAAGCAAATGTCAAAATGACTATGCTGGGATGCTTTCTTCTGTCCAGGTTTCATGCAAAGACCATGTTTTAAAATGTTGAAAACTGTTTCACATAACCAAACATGCAAACCACACAAGGAACTCTGCCGGAGGGCCAGCAGGTGCACAATAAGGTGGATTAACACCGCACTACAAAAACTAGAGACAACGGTACCCTGATGATTCACTATAAAAGGCACGGTTAAAACGTTGAAATACAAAGAACAACTAGAAGCTACAGTGAAAACGCAGAACATTGTGAGTGCAAACAAACGTGTGGAAAACAACAAGCTACACATTCTAGAGATGAAAAGGAAGACACAGAAATGTAGGACAACGTGAGTGAGTGAGACAGTGGCTTAGTCCCGGCAGAAGAGAGAATCAGTGAACCTGGAGATCATTCTGAGGAAATCACCCAGGGAGCAGCCTACAGTCACAAAGAGATGAAAGATACAAAAGAACCAATTAAGCAGGATTGAGACCAGAGCGCCAAGGCGAACACAGCTCTAGGAGGCATCCCAGAAGACAGACTAACAAGGAGAGAAAGGCAGTGCTCAAAGGGACTGAGAAATGTCCAGAACTGAGGGAAGACGTGAGCCGTCCAATGGAATAACTGCACCAAGTCCTGGGCAAAAAAAAAATACAAATAATATAATTTTAACATGATTTCCATTTCTTTAAGAGTATAGGTCTTTTCAGGTTTTCTAATTCTCCTCATCCTCCTTTTTGGGTTCAATTATCTATTACTTAAATGTTCAGTTTATGAGATGAGAGAGTTAAATATAAAGGATAAGAACATAAATTAATGAAATAAACACAAAGAAAGGAGAAAATAATAAAAATAAATATGAAATTTATGAACTAGAACACAGAAACAGTAAAGATGGTCAACAAAAGTAAAACTGGTTCTCTGAAAAGATTAATAAAATGGACAGAACCCTGGCCAAAAATGTTTTTGAAGTTTCATGTGAATAGTTCTTTTTCCCTCCACACTTTGAAGATGTCATTCTACACCTAACTAAGTTATCCTTCAAGAGTATATTTTAAGTATATGTCAGACAAACATGGACTAGAGACTGAGAGTAATTACAACTCACAGATTTCCACTGAAATAACCTCTAAAAGATCTGACTTATGAAAAAGTGGACAACCTGTTGTAAATATATGATAGAATACGCCACATCTAGACACACTGCATGATTGCAAAACAAGAATTACAAAACAGAAACCTTAAGGAAAAATAGCCAGCGAGGAAAAAGCAGCCTACCTGCAAAGAAATGGCGATGAGCGCAGCAGCCAACTTCTCGCCAGCAAAACAGATGCAGGAGGAAAGGAATCGGAAAGAGGACACGAGGACACCGCGTATGAAGGACAACAGAGGGGATGTAAGAAAGCTATGTTTTTAATGTCTAATACTACGAAATACTGGCTTTTCTCCCATGTCATTTTTTTTCTGGGTTTGAGTGCATTCATTTTTCAATCTTGTTATTTTTAAATTTAGGCATTTAAGGATATAAATCTCCTTTAAGTCACACTATTAAAATGAACTATATCTCCTACAATGGGAATAAATTCTAAATTTCCAAAGTCAGTGGAGAAAAAGGCCAGCTGCAGGAGAAAAATTATATACACTGTTAAATACACAGAAACATATTATTTTTATGAACAAATACCTATTTTTAAAATGCACCAGAATAAGAACTGGAAACATAGTACTCCATTGTGTATATGTACCACAGCTTTTTTATCCATTCGTCTACTGATGGACACTTGGGCTGTTTCCAGATCTTAGCCATTGTAAAAAGTGCTGCTACGAACATGAGGGTACATATATTCTTTCTGATTGGTGTTTCAGGTTTCTTAGGGTATATTCCTAGAAGTGGGATCACTGGGTCAAATGGCAGTTCAATTTTTAATTTTCTGAGGTAACACCATATTGTTTTCCACAGTGACTGCATCGGTCAAAGAAAAATCTCTTATCCTTTGAGACAACATGGAGGGACCTAGAAAGTATCATCCTAAGTGAAACAAGCCAAACAGACAAGTATCATATGATCTCACTTATTTGTGGAATATAATGAACATAACAGTCTGAGGAATGGGGTAGTCCCAGAGACATGGAAGTGGGGTGCAGACTGACAATCCCCAGAAGAGGGGGTGGTGGGGGAGAGATAAACCACAGAACTTATATGCATGTGTGCATGAACAGTGGACGTGGACATCAAAGCTGGGGACAGGGCGGGGAGGGAGGAGGAGGGGGGAATCAGTTGGTGAAAAGGAGAAACATCTATAACAAAAATTAATTAATTAATTAATTAATTATTTAAAAAAAAAGAACTGGAAACATACATATTACCTTCAAATAGAGTTTGCCTCTGGGGTGGAAACCAGTAGGAAGGAGGAAAGGATCTAAAGACATTTTTTTCTTTAAAACACACACACAAACAAAGGCAGAAAAATGTTTTTAAATAGGAAGGGTATGGAATTCTGTCATTCTCAAAAGCTCTGAGATCCCTGAAGTCACTCTGGCCAAATGCGAAGACGGAATAGAAAGCCTGCCGCGGTTGTAAGAACTGTCTTCCAGCTGCTGGCACTGTGGGACTAGGGAGCCGATGTTGAAATCTGTGCTCCAAAACAGGAAACCCACAAATTTGCTCCTGTGGACAAGCAGGATCCCTTTCCCATGTGTCAGAGACCCAGAGTAAATCTGACTCAGAAAACAGCATCTGAGAAATTTCACTCCTTGTATACTGACAATTTAGCTGAATTAACTAATTAATTAACACATACATAAAGAATAATATCCCAGGCAAGGGGGTGGGCAATCTGGGGGGAAGAGGATGGAGACTTCAGCATATGCTGGACCATCTTCAGAAGCCTGACCCCAAATAAACATAGGCTAAGAGTGACACCCAGTGGCCAATCTCCAGTATAGCAGACAGGCCTGATTCCCAGGATTTCCACACCCTGGCTGCTGTTGTGTCCAGGGTGTTTGCGGGGGTTTCCTGAGTGCTGTGTTTCAGGGAAGTCTGTCATCCAGAGAGCACCGCGTGGGGATGCAATGAGCCAGTTCCCCTGTCCTCTCCTTCTTCCACTCCTCCTGTCTCCTGGCTCACTTTCCCGTTCCCTACCGAGTGTGCAATCCCTGGCGCACTGGGTCCCACGGGTGGCCAGGGTAGGACAACAGACAACACTGTGGAAAGAAGGAGATGGTCTCCTGCCACCATCGCGATACAGGACTGGTGTTCCTCAGGGTGAGAGTGTACCCCCTACAGCTAAGCAGCTAAAAGGGGGAAATTAATTTCATGGTACTATTATTGTCATTTGGGGGAAAATACGAGGTTAAGTCTAAATATAAGTTATGAAATCTGACATCTGCCCACGATCTCCTTTTAAAACTGTTTCTCAAAGGTTACCACCCACAACAATGCCAGCCATAATAAGCGCTAACACATATTCATCACACACACACACACACACACACACACAGTGTCAGGCACCATTCTGACATGTATTAGCTCATTTTAACTCATGCCATTCCCATGGGAAAATATGAATGTTGTGAGCATTTTACAGATGACAGGAATGGGGCCTAGGGGGACAGTAACATACCCCAAATCACAGCTGGTGAGCTCCTGGAGACAGGACTGCTCACAGGACCATGCACGCCTTTCTGGCTCTGAACCTCTTGATTCCTCAGCTGCGCTGCCCCCCATGACTAGTGACCTCTCAGTGACCAACCCCAAAGGCCTTCGGCAGCGTCAAGCATCACCCCCTGCGCACCCCGCGCTGGTCCTTCCCTCTCAGCAGGCTCCTCTCTCTCCTTTGCTACACTCCTCTGCTCTGTGAAGGGTCGTCCCCACCAAAGCTCTGTTCTCTATTCTGTCTCCCTTTCTCCAGAACCTCAGTTGAAGCACAGTTGAATTTAATGCCAGGATTCTGGGGTTCCAGACCCACGGCCCTGAGTCCAGTCCTCTCGCTCTTGGGGCCTCACTTCCCCCTGCGGTCGGTTGAGGGTGGTTTGCACAGTGGTCTCACCTTGGCCGCACACTGGCCCACCTGGAGAACTTTCATAACCGTCACCGCCCAGGCTCCACCCTGGCCGGTGAGATAGAGCCGCTCAGGGTCGAACACCGCTGGTCCTCGGCAGCGCCCTCTGCTCTCCAATCCCCCTCTTCCCAAGTGCCACCGCCGTGGCCTTCACACTGTCTCCGGCCACAGGCCCTCCCTCACCCGCGCACGCCTCACCCAACGCCAAGTCAGCTTCCTAGAGAGGTCTCTGCCACATCATGTCACCTGGCTCCCCGCTCTGCCGGGTGAAGGACAGGCCGTGGCGCAGTATTTCAGTCTCCGCCTCGCGGCCCATTAAACCTTGGTAACACGGTGCCCTCCTGGTAACCTGCCTCCCAGAGGACATGGGTCAGCATCCTCACTTGTCCACTGTCACCTCCTCTGCCCGTGTACACCTGTGGCAAGTCTTACATTGTGCAGAACTGAACTCGAACCTCCCCTTGCTCATGGGAGTTCTCCCCACCCCCTTCCCCTCCCCACAGACTCCCACAGCCGCCACACGCTCCAGGGGCTCGCTGCGTCACTTGGGCTCCACACTGCTGTGCAGGAAAATGACCTTGTTCCCCCTCTCCCCACAGAGAGCCCTGCCCGTGGTCCACTCCCTCAGCGGTGCTTTCCCACAGGAGAAGGGGCCCCGGTCTGAGAGTTCAGAGCGGAGACCTTCCGCGGGCCCCGTTTTCCCGTGTGGAGGCCCAGGTCTCGGGGTTCCTCCTCGTAGCTCCGCTGCCCGGGCTTCCCCCTCTGCTCCCCGCGCAGGAAGGCCTCCCGACCCCTGGGAGTGCTCCCCAGCGCTCGCCCCTGACGCAGGCGGAGCCGGCTGGCCACCTGCGCCCGAGCCGCCCTCTGCACTGAAGGCAGAAGTAGTGAAAGCAGCCTGTACCCCGGCCCACGCTGACGTCACACGTTCCGCGGACAGGCCCACGTGGGAGGGACTCGCCACTGACAGCTGTGATCTGGGGCCCCGTGTGCGCGCCTCCTGGGGGCCCCTGGATCGGACCGATGAGTGGCGGGACCACCACCGCCTCCTGGGGGCCCCTCGATCGGACTGGATGAGTGGCGGGGCACAAGGACCACCGCCGCCTCCTGGGGCCAGCAGCAGGCCCTTCGCGGGCTGCGCTTCTCTCCGCGGCCACCTGTTGAAAGGACCCGACGGACTCTCCCCGGTGGCTCATCCTCTCCTCCCTCTCACTCCTGCCGGCCTTGCTCGGCGGAACCTGCTCCTCTGGCTCCGTGTTCCCGGGAACCCGAAGTTCATCTGCAAACCTGCTGGGAAGGGAGGAAGGCAGCCCAGCCCCAGGACACACCAGAAGGTCGCGGGCACTCACATGGGGGAGTAAGAATCGGGGTCTATGCTCCTGGTGGGGACAAAGCCCACGGCTCCTGAGCACGCCGACTTCCCAATGAACCACTGAAGCCCAGGGATGACGAAGCCAATGATCTCGATGCTCTCTCCCCGGTGGAAATTCAGCTCATCCTTTGCTTCCCTCTCATAATCCTTCCAGGCCTTACATTTTCCTCGCCCTGTGGGGAAAGAGCACACGGGTCAGCCAAGCGAGGCAGAGACCGCTGAGCCTTCCACTGTCTCTCCGTGTAGTAGGACGTGAGTGGCCCCCACCCTTTAGGAGAGACGTGGGGTAATGCTTTTCATTCTGCCGAACTAGGACATTCAAGAAAAGGAACTACCGACCACGTTCATCATTGCATAAAGGAAACGGCATTTGAACGGTGGAGGGGAGATCATCTCAGGATCTGGATCCACCTTAACGCCGAACCAGGTGGGCTTAACAGAGTGACAGCTGTCACAGGGGAGAGGGTTGGGGCTGGGTGAGAAGGGTGAAGGGATTAAGCAAAGGAAAAAAAAGAAAGAAATTTTAAAAAAGAAAACAAGCAGCCTGCATTCCCCCGACAGGTCTTCACACCCCTGCGGCCCCTACCACTCCCCAGCCTCTCATCCAGGCCCCGTGCATCCTGCCGCTCCTGCCGGCGTCTGTATCTACAGGCCTGGGTGACACCTCAAGATTTGCAGGTGAGGAAACCCGCATATACGGACAGTAACTGGCTTCCCCAAATCCAGTCAGTAGCAAGACAGGGATTCAGATCAACTGACTCCAAACCCGCAGACGAAATTAGGAGGCAGGGCGGTATTATCTCCCAAGCATACTATCCTCCCCTCAGCCGTACCAATCTGATAGGAGCCCGTCCAGTCCCTGTTTCTGGAAAGACCACAGCTTCCTGGATAATTCTTTAGGAACCACCTGCCAACGGAAACACACGGTTTACAAACGTGGATTTCAAAACCTTAGAACAGTGAGCAAAACAGCCGGCTAAAGCAAAGAGGGTGGTGGTGGTGACAGGTGAATGTTACGGCTCCGTCCGGCGCTGGCAGGCACTTGCTGAGAACTTGCTTTGCAGGGCGCACTGTGCAAAGCAGAGGAGTCGGCTTGCCTGGCGTGTTTGCCGGCTCTGCAATTGTTTGTCAGTTAAATAACTAACAGACAATCTTTTCCCCACTGGCACCGTCCGATTCTCTGCCAGGGCCGCACCACGTCCGCGGCCTGGGTGAGGTTCATTGCCGCAGCCTCTGTTTGAGTTGACGATGTCTTCCGGCAAAGATTCTCACAGTTTAGTGTGAAAATATCTCCTTACGTTTCAGGGGAGCTCATATAAAATGCAGGTCCCCAGATCCAACCCCAGGAGAGTTCGAGGAGGGCTAAGGAGTCTAAAGCTGTAGTCAAATCCCAGGGGACTGTGATACAAACGGTCCCCAGTGCCCGCACTGAGAAATGCTCCCTTGGAGGCAGGCAGTGTGTTACCCTTTAGGTACAATGCCCATCTGGAATGGAGAGTTGTCTCCAATCTCATCAAACTGTGCAAACCTTGACTCTTAAAAAAATTAGAGAAAAAGCCACCCCATCTCGTTTCCTCCCCGGCAGCATGAGCATGGTACCTGCCCGCGTGCCCACGCCGTTCCGCACAGACCTCGGTCTGCCCTGGGACCCTGGGCCGGGAGGTGGCGGCTACTCACTGGTGGAAAGGGAGCGGCAGAATCTCCAGGGCTGACACCGGCACCAGGCCCCGCTGACCGGTCACCAAGGACATGCCTTCCCACTCGGACCTGCCTTCGGCTGTTTTCACTGAGAGTAACTCGTCCTTGCAGAGCGTCAGACCCTCCCCTTCCTTGTCAGCTGGCTGAGCCACCACGCACATGGCTCTGCAGAAGAAGTGGCCTGTGGACAATGAGAAAAGCCCTTCCAAGGAGCAGCAGCAAGTGAAAGGGGTTATCACACGAGGCAACGCGTCTCTCCACGGCCCAGACACTTTTCTTTCTGGGAGAAAAGTACACAGTTGGTCAAGGTCGGGGTCTGGGGGGCACCACAGGAAAACTGGTAGGAGAAAAAAAGCCACTAAGAGGGAATTCACTTAGAATAAACACTGAAAGTTCTAAGTAGTTTGTGAGACCGAGGTCTAATTGGGACTTCACCTTGAAAAAGAAGGAAACAGAAACTTATAAAAAGATATTTAACAGAACTTCAGTTATAACTGCTACCTCACGCTTAATCTTAGGATCAGCGAAGAATAATTTACAGTGATTTGGATGAATACAATTTTTCCAAGTGACTTTTATAGTAGCACGTATGAAATTCTTCTTTCCTTCGTATATAATTTGAGCACTGCAATCAGAAAGGGAATTGTTTTGCAAAAGATGCTGTGCAAATGTTGCTCTCTCATGTGTCTGTGATGTCATCACTTGCTCTCTCATGTGTCTGTGATGTCATCACTTGCTCTCTCATGTGGCTGTGATGTCATCACTTGCTGACTGGTCAGATGGAGCCTTAATCAGACCCTTTCTTGTAAACAGATCAGTGGGAGCTCCAAGCAGTTCCCCCAACATCCCTTCCCTCAAACTCACGAACACTTTTAGGTTTCACAAGATTTGCAATTTTATTTTACAATCAAATTAAATCATAGGTCTAGAAAAGTGATTCTCAGTCTTAGATGCCCATGGCGATTACGTGGGCAACTTTCAAAACCTGCCAAAGCCTGGGCCCCACCGTGGGAGATTTCACCGGCCTCGGGGGAGCCCTGGCAAAGGCATCTTCTGAAAACTCCCCAAGTGGTTCCAACATCAGACAATCAGGGAGACTGGCCGGCATAGCTGTTCATGTTATATCAGTGTTGAACTGACAGATATCTGGGGTAATATTATAACAGGTGGGTTCCTTTGTGAATATTATCACATTTGAATGGTGTTTGCCTCCTTTGGAACCTGATTATTTCAGGGGCTTGGATAATAAATATCCAGGTGAGACCCCCACCCCTACTCCTTGCTCACCTTCCTGCATCAGGAGTGCCAGGTAGATTGTTTCCAGGTGTTTCTCATCGACGGACACTTGGATCTCTGTGTCCTCCACCAACCTGCAGTTGAGCCAGTACTTGTGGTCGAAGAGCAGCTGCTCCAGACACGCAGACACGTGGCCTAGGAAGTCAAGCCAACAAGGTTCCTGAACAAACGACACGGCTGCTGCCATGACTTCCCCCCAGACTCTGACCCCAGCTCGTCCCCATTTAACCGGAACTAGGAGAGCATAAGAGGGTAGCTTAAAAATGTCCAGAATTAATTGATTCTTGTCAGCATCTGTTGGGAAACACAAGTCATTTAAAATTTTTTTTACCATTTTCAACATATTTATGGGTCTCCATAAATTCATAATGAGATGACCAGACCCCATTACCTTTTTCTGATATATCCATGGAGGAATCTCCAAGATGACAATGTTGACTCTGGGGGTTCCTGGCAGCCCCTTCAAGTCTCCTGACCTGTGGCTTGAATTCCTGTCCCTCTGGTGATGCAGTGGCCGGGGTGGGGGTTCTCCATGGCCCACGACAGACATAGGATGTACTTCAATGTTCCCACTCTGACCCTTGGTCTCACCTATGACCCTTGACCTCACCCATGACCCTTGGCCTCACCCAGTAAGCTCTCCTTCGTTAAAATCAAGCTAGAAACCATGCAAATTGCAGAATTCTAACAACCGTGGGCAGTATTTTAAATGTGCCGATAAATGTGGAGTATTTATATTAAAACTTTGCTTCTTTGGAGACTTCCTCTTTTCTTCCGTGGCAAAGCCGTCTCTTTCCATTCTGACTCTGCGGTGTACTGACTCGGGCCTGGAATCTCTTCTTTAATTGTGCTTCTCCCACCTCCTGTGCACACAAGGCCCCTGGGGACCTCTCCGAACTACAGGTGCTGGCTCGTGGGTCTGGGCTGGGGCCTGCGATCCCACCTTTCCAACCTGTCCCGTGTGCGGCCGACACTGCTGGCCCACGCAGCACACTTTGAGCAGGGAGGGCCAGAGAAGGACACGTGTGCTGTAGGAGGCAGACCCTCACCACGGCTGTCAGAGCAGCTATAGTTCTGGCCACGAGTCCCCCAGAAGGCTGCTTCCTGTGCCGGTCTGCACGGAGTCCAGCATCCTCTAGGGGGCGTACAATGTGTGTCAGCACCAGGGACCTCCGCTTCCCTGACCTCGCTTTGGAATCCACTTCCCTGTCGAGAGTTCTTCTCCGTAGAGAAGGCCAGCGAACCATTCCCACCACAGTAGTCCTGGGGCTGTGCCCAGTAGCCTCCTTTACCTACTAGAAAACCCTGCAGTCGAGGCCCCGCTAGCAAATAACTCCTCCCTCTCTTCCTTTGGCCCCTTCCCAGACATGGAATAAAGTATCCGGAACTTTCCTATTCTAAGCAGCTCCTTGGATCTCACTCAAGACCGATCCCTTTTTTAAACCATCAAGTTCACATCTGTCTCAGTCCTTTGAATTTAGTCTGGACCAATAACCATTTGCCAGTTGATCGACTGTCTAATAAAGAAGGGTCTCCCTGGAAACAAAGAGTGCTGCACGTGGCGTTTGAGTGACCGTCTCTATCTGCTTTGGATTTAGTGCGGCGTTTCGTGATGTTTCAGGAGTTAGCTACCCACGCGAGGGCTCCGCCTCTTCTACCGTCTGCACCACACCGACTCCTCCACGTCCAGGCCCCCCGCTCGGCTGGACGGGACACAGGTGCTTCCCCACCAGCCTGCTCTGTGCCTACCTAAGTTCAGGTAGGTGGAGAACTTCCAGATTTCCTCCATGGTCTTGAAGGTTAGGAGAAACTGGGCCTTCTGGGACTGGATGCCCACCAACCTGGCCGAGAGGTCCTGAGGAGACAGAAGAGCGAGTCAGCCCAGGAGGAGTGTCCCGTGAGCAAGCTCACCTAAGTACAAAATGCTTTGTGTCAATATCTTGGCGGTGGCATTGAATTTTACATCAAACACACACACAAGGGAAACCACCTAAATGTCCCTCGTAGGAGACCGGTTAAAGTGAATGATGGTTCATCAAGACAATGGGATATTATGATATCACACGGTCGTAAGAAAGAATGAAGGAGCCCTGGTCAGTTTGGCTCAGCGGTTAGAGTGTCAGCCAGCGAACCAATGAATCTCAGGTTCGATTCCGGTCAAGGGCATGTACCTTGGTTGCGATTCATCCCTGGCCCTGGTTGGGGTCGTGCGGGAGGCAGCCACTCGATGCGTCCCTTTCAGGTCGATGTTTCTTTCTCTCTCTCTCTCTCTCTCTCTTCCTCCCACTCTATCTGAATAAAAATGGGAAAAAGTCCTAGGGTGAGGATAAAAAAAAAAATGAAGGAGCTCTTTGTACGTGACAGTCTCCAAACACACACACTAAATGGAACAAGGTGTATAACAAGACAAACATGTGGAGCTATGTGCGGTGGATGCTACCTGTCAGGTAAAAAAAAAAAAAAAATTGGGGGAGAGGGGAGGTAAATTAGAGGCAGCACCTTTGGTGGTCAATCTACTGATTAACTTTATAGAGCTGACAAAGAACTCACAAAAATCAAAATCGTCCACAATCCGTCCTCTTAGAGACCCCAGTGTCGACACGGGCGTGTTAACGGAGTCTTTTTTCCTATACATGGGTTTCTATGTAACTACCTTTATATAAATAGCATCACACTACTTAAATTGTTGTTTTGTAACCTCTTGTTGCTAAACCATATCTTGTGAATCATCTTCCATGCCATTAAAGAATCTATGTCATTTTTTTAATTCTCACCCTAGGATATTTTTTTCCATTTATCTTCAGATAGAGTGGGAGGGGGAGAGAGAGAGAGAGAGAGAAACATCAATGTGAGAGAGACACATTGATTGGTTGCCTCCCACATGACCCTGACCAGGGCCGGGGGCCAAACCACAACTCAGGTATATACCCTTGACCGGAATGGAACCTGAGACTATTTGGTCCGCAGGCCAGTGCTCTAACTGCTGAGCCAAACCAGCCAGGGCGAATCTACGTTGTTTTTCATGGTTGTATATGCCATTGTTGCATTAACATAATTAATTCTTAATATTTCTTTAGGGTTGGCCATTTGAGTTGTTTTAATTGTTTTCAACATCCTAAACAGTACTGTGATCAACATCCTCTACCTAAAGTGCTGTGCACATCCTGGATTATTCAGACACAGTAATTTCGAGAAGCGTCATTGGGAATGCAAGGATACACACGTTTTCAGTCCTAACACACAGGAGCCAACTGCTCCGAAAGGCTGAGCCAGTTTACATGCTCACAAGCAGGGCAAGAGGGGGCCCGCAAGCTCCCCCCCCCCCTTTTCAATACCTGATAAAACAGGCGTGAGTCGCTGCCCAAACTTGGTTTTCCCCTAGAATCTTTCTCTGTGGCTTGCCCAAGCCTCTGGAGTTGATTATAACGAGAGAGGATCGGAAAGCCCCTGTCCCCCCAGGCCAAGTCCCATCATCAAAGATGGACCCCTGGAGACTGAGCTGGAGAACCAGGGGGAGAAGCGGGTAGAAGGATCCAAAGGAAGAGCATCTTGCTCAGCAAAGTCACCATTCTGGAGCCTCATTGGAGGATGAAGATCCTGGTAACCAGGGAAGGGGTTCCAGGCAAAAACTGGTCCACAGAGAATGCACTAATTGTCAAGCACTTCACCAAGAGCCAGCTCTGTGAGCAGGGCCCCTTTAACTCTCACTATGAGCCGATGGGAAGAGTAGTTACACGGCTCAAACCTTTCCCAAGTGCGCTGTTCCCACCTCTCACCATTTCTGAAACACAAGTAAAGAAGCGTGACATCACACTTTGTTGGCGGCATTTGTTTTCTTTCTTAGAGGTAAACAAAATAATGGTGCATTTTGTAATCAAATGGCATTTCAGATGCAATAGAAAACGGGATCATCTCTGTTTTATAGTCAAGGAGGCCCAGGCAGAGACAGGTTAAGCAATTGCCCGAGGTCACCTGGGAGGAGCTCTGGCCCTCTGACTGGATGCAGCCGACTCCAGGCCTCCGCTGTGCCCATAAGCGGGCCCTGCTCAGGCCTCAGCCCAGCAGACCAGCTCGCTCATCCACACCCAGCTCTTGCCCACACCCAGGTGACTCGGATTAAAGAAACTCTGCTCACTTCGGCAGCACGTATACCAAAATTGGAACAACGTGGAGAAGATTAGCAGAGACCCTGTGCAAGGATGACACGCAAATGCGTGTGGCGTTCCATATTTTTTTAAAAAAGAAAGCGATGATGCCAGTTAGCAGGTAAAGTCTCCAAGTTCCTGAATTCTGAAAATTTAAAAACCAAAACCAAAATGACTCTGTTGTCTGTATAACTGGTCTACCAGGCAGGGCACACACCCAGCCGAGCAGTGCTGAGCTCTCCGTGGACACTGTCACAACCACTCCCCCTCACAGCACAACGCGGTTGCCTGCTGCGGGGCGGATTCACAGAGCACATTTCTCTTTTACATCTGTATCCGATGAATGCGGAACTACAAAATAACTAGAACATAATTGTTCATTCTGTAAAGTAATAGTCTCCTTCCCCCACCTCCACTGCAACAACTTTTAACCAATTGACTTTCGCTCTCCTAGTAAATGCCTCCTAAACTGAACAGGGTGATCACACTCTTCCTTGGTTTAACAGTTGGTTTAACAGTTTAACAAATATCTTCCCACTATGAAAACCAGCAGTTGGTTTATTTACCTTATTGCCTTTTCCTTCTCTCGTTTTAATATTTATAGGTATTAATTTTTGATTAGCGAGTTTGGTGCTTGACAGGAAAGAGTATACTTAGTGGTTCCCAGTGGCTGAGGGAAGGGGATCGAGGGGAGGGGAGTTATTGTTCAGCGGGTAGAGGTTTAGTTTGAGAGGATGAAGTTCTGCAGTGGATGGTGGTGATGGTAACACAACAATGTGAATGCACTCAATGCCACTGAATTGTACACTTCAAGTGATTAAAATTTGAAAATGTATGTTTTATATAGATTTTATCACAATAAAATTCAAATTTACATTTTTTAAAAGTAAATTTTTAGGGTAGGGTAGGTATTTAATAGGGTAGGTATTATAATGACTCCCATACAGTTAAGTAACTTGGGGAAGGTCATACAACTAACAGAGGCAGATTTGAAATGAAGTTTTTTCTGACTCTACACCTCCAGGGCTTCCCCCATGTCGAGTCCCTGTCCTCCTGTTGAGCCGACCCCCTCTTTCATTTGTTCAGTCAGACCTTTCCTTGGGGGCCCGCTGTGTTCCCGGCGCTGTCCGAGGTGCTGGGGAGCCCGTAGCGGCCGGATCCACAGGCCGGAGTTCGCACCGCCCTCCGGAGCTCACCTTAAACAGCGCACGCACCTCCTGGTCCTCATTCTCCAGCGCCCAGAGCCGCCTCCTGGCTGCTTCCTGCAAGGGGCCATTCACACACCTCCCGGAGCGGCTCTTCACGCTGAAGGAGAGCGTCAGGTCTGAAAGAGAGCGGAGGGAGCGGATGAGGCTGGAAATGCAGTCAAAGGGGAGACAGCATCAGATAAACACTGGTGTTCCTCACACTCAACCCTGAACCGGTGTCCTCATTATTTAGAGATGACAGGTGATCTTAACGCTCCTCGGAGCACCTCCCTTGAACTATCACCCCGGAGAGAGAAAAAAATGCTAAAGTCCAGGAAGGCTCTGGAATGCCAGGACTTGGTGCACTTGGGCTGGTTCTTTGTGCTGGGAGCCAGGCTCACTGCTCGGCTGCCTGGCACTGAATGGCAGTGCCCACACTGCCACTGAACATTCACTAACCACATCGAGCGTTAGCTGTAGAAACAGCTGGGACACGTAGTTCCTCCTGCGCATAATTTGTGAAAGTTTTGAATGATTTATGTACTGATGAAAATGTCTTTATATGTCAAATTTATGGCGTGTAATAGATATGGCATACTTTATGCTTTACACCTACACACATACATTGTCTCTAACTTGTCTTTCTGATCAGTGTGTATTAATGTCTGTCAGAGTAATTGGTTAATTATTAAAATCCATCTTGAATTTCTTCAAGTTGCACATTTACTCATCTGGTAGTGTGAGCAGACGCTGGGAAACAGCAAGACACAAAATAGACATGGTCCTTGTTCTCATGGAGCTTGTATTCTTGGCAAGTAACCCATCCCATGAACACAATAACCTCAGATGCAGAGAAGTACCATGAAAAAAAAAAAAATGTAACAGGGTAAAGAGGCAGAGCGATGGAGCAGTCGGAGGGTGCGAAAGCCTTTGGATAGCGTGGTCAGAAAAGGCCACATTTAGGAAATTCATCTTCTAATTGCACTTTGCCACGTGTCTTCTTTAGACAGTAAGTAGCAATGTTGTTAGTTATGCTCCAACACAATAAACCAAGGAGGTGCTGGACTGGTTACAGAAGTCTCTGTTCTAGCCCGAACTTGCCAGGGCCTTTACAAATTCCTGACCACATTAGAGATGGCCCCTATCACACTGGCCTGGGTCCACAGGGCAGCCCTGGACTCCTACCTTTGAAAGGCCTGTCTTTAACCTAGAAGTCCTGAAACCGCTGTGTCTGCAGACCAGCTCCAATATGACATGCCCAACTGACCTGACCTTGGTGTGAACTTCGGTTGGATGTTTGTCGCCTTCCATTCCTCCCTGGACTGTGTTCTAATCTCATCCAAGCCCTCCATCTTCGGCAGTCCAGGTCCAACCCTCCGTCTTGTAGCCTCTCTGCACACTGACCTCTAGGAGGAGGGGAAGTCCCCGGGGGAGGAGTCACACAGTCTTGGGCTCAAGGCTTGGCTCTGTCCTTGCCAACTGCACCACCCTGAGCAGTTAATTACCCCCCTTTGCTTGACTTCTCTCATTAGCAAAATGGCTTTTAAAGTACCTATCCCACAGGGGTTTTCAGAGACTAACTGAATGAGATTATGCATATAAAGATTTTGTTCAGTGCCTGGAACCTACTTAATGTTCACTAAACACATTTAACTTTAGCTGTGACCCCTGGCCAGTGCCCACCCCACCCCAGGACTCCAGCAATTACTGCTCTCATTGCTCTCATTTTGTCACACCTGTCGCTGACCTTGACGCTGAGTCTGTGATTCCTTTTCACCAAACTTGTCTCTTCTGTCCTTGCAGAACCTGATCGAACTCCCCTCGAGAATCCCTCTGGGAATAGCCCCTTTGATGTAAATGTCCTTGCCACACAGGCACGTGAATCCCTGGATGCGGAGCTCAAAAGACCAGGGTTTAAATAAGCAAACTGCTTCTGAGATCTCCACCAGTGAGAGCTAACGCCCAGAGCGGAACCTCAGGGCCCACCGCGGGATCCTAAGTGCCCTCTGCATCACCAGACGTGGGGATAAGTCAGCTTCACTCCCGTTCAAGGCAAAGTGCATTTTGTCATTTTTCAGTCCTTCTGAAAACCGGTCTTTTAATCACAGTGATGTATCTGATTGATCCTGTCTGCAAGTCTTCCTTAAAAATCAGAGGTTGGTAGCAGGACCCGAGTCCCCCCTTCTCTCTCCGTGACCTTTCTTGGAAGCAGCACGATGGCAGAAAACACTGCAGGATGAACAAGCTCCGCCTTGGTTGATTAGGTTTCACCTGCACATACCCCTTGTTCATTGGCCTTCGGGCACAGATAAGGCAAAACGCTGACTCCACTGTGCTCATGAACCGGCAGATGGTGACTCAGCTTTGGCAAGGATGGCCCAAGCTGACAGGCAGGTCAGCAGATTGGCACAATAGAAAGAAATGAAGGGTAAGGTTTTGTATTGCCAGCCAAGCAGTTGGACAGAATTTAAAATCAGGGTAAGAGAGAACCTGGTATGACACTTGTACAATATCGAGTCGTACGATTTATGTCCATTGGAACATTCACAGTGTAAATCTTTTCCACAAATCTATGTCATGTCTGCTGGAGAGAAGACGTGTTTGGAAGGACAATGGAGCATTGCGGTTATGAACCAGGGCCGGGGTTTGCATCTCCTTCTCATCACAGACTAAGTGCGGCAGTGGGGAAGTCACCCAGTGGGGAGTTTGGTGCCACCTCCTGGAGGTGAGCATGTGAGGATGGGAAGGACATACGAGGATCACTGAGCACTTTCTCGGCACATGGTTTGCCCTCAAAAATGGTCCCTGTTACTCAGCGACAGAACTGATCAGTTTCAGGTGCGTGGGTCAGCCCAGGTGCAGCTCTCTGTGACGACGACACGCCCTTTGCCAGCTTCACTGTCTCCTAAGGGGAACCCTGTGAGAGGCGTGCATTGAGAGGACTATGTTGTCAACATTAATTTCAAAATCTTCTGCTTCCGAAAGATTCATACAGGTGCTCTTCTGACCAGTCAATCTCACCTCACACATTCCACCCTTTATTTACTGATTCATGACTCTGACAAATATGAATTGAGAACCTACGATGTGCAAGGTATTGTACAGAATACACGTGTGGCCTCTACATATTTATCCAACCATTCTTATATTTATTTACCAGAGTTTATGTGCAACTGTTATGTACAAGTAATTCTTTTAGATACCATGTAGAATACATAATTTTGTTAAATTATCCCGACCTTCAGCACCTTAAATTCTAACCAATGACCTCTGGCCAGTTTTGCTCAGTGGTTAGAGCGTTGGCCTGCAGACCAGGAAGTCCCGGGTTCGATTCCGGTCAAGGGTATGTACCTCGGTTGTGGTTCATCCCGGCTCCGGTTGGAGTCGTGCAGGTGGCAACCAATTGATGTGTCTCTCTCACATTAATGTACCCCTCTCTCTCTCTCTCCCTTCTCCCTTCCACTCTGTCTGAAGACAAATTTAACCAATGATATACTTTTGTGGATGTGTATGGAGCTCCTAATATGTGCCAGGTTGTGAAAAGTTTTGAGTGTCAGCCTGAGAAGGTTTAACTTAATGTCACAGACAGTGGAGAGCCCTGGAATATGTGTGAGCAAGTGAATGTCATAGTCAAGGTCATGCGTCCAAGGATGCATTTGGGGGGGGGGGTACGTGCCCCTACGGGAACTGAACCCGGGACTCTCTGGTGCACAGGCCAATGCTCAACCGCTGAGCCAAACTGGCCAGGGCTTTTTTTTTTCAAGGATGCATTTTGTGGTGGTCCTAAACAGGACAAGAAGGAGGGAACCCACAGATGGGAGAGACACAGAGGTTACTGTGGTATTCTACATGAAAAAAAAACATTCTGTCATAGGGTTTGTCTTTGGAATCTAGATACCTGGACTCATGTCCTGTAGCAGGAAACATTTTTCCCTGTCTTCAGATGAGGCTATAAACTCACTCGATACAGCTGGATCCTTGGGAAGAGTTTCTTTCCCTGGAAGAGATCAAAGGAAAGGTCGTTGAGGGAGTGTAAGCAAGACACAAACGAGGACTGCAAGTTTTGGTCGAGCTCCAATTTTTCTCCAGGGCTGGTGGCATGAAGGAATTCTACCACCACTGCCTTATAATTATTTAGTACCCAACTGTTATCCAGAACAACCGTCATACATGCCATCTCAATCACGCAACAGTCAGGGTGTCCCATATCATTAAAATAAGAACGGATTTTCACCCACAGTTAAGACTGCATTCCATGGCACAGTGCAATGAAGGTGCAGAGTAGACGTTGAGCCAACAAGGTCACAGCGTGGCTGCAGCATGGTTTAAGGTCAACGGGTGGATGACAGAAGTGCTGAAGCAGAACAAGGGGGAGTGGCATCACTGGGGAGATGGTGGGGGCATGGTAGCAATGGCCCTGAAAGGTATGACTGTCCCCTGCCTGCCCACTGAATGGAGTCCTGTATGGGGCAGCTCTCGTCCCCAGCTCTCCACATAGTCCTGTCTTTGCAGCTGTACACTGGAGTGAAAAGAGGAAAAGAGAAGATTGTGTCACAGGACAGGGTTAGGGAGGAGGCTGTTTTGAGGGCAGAAAGTTGAAAAGAGAAGAGAGTGCAGCTAAAAAGCATTAGGCAGTAGCCATTAAAAAAAAGAAGAAGAAGAAGGAGAATAGAAGGGAATTTCACAAGTATGGCTATGAAAAGTGGGCCTCCTTCGTGGTATCCCCAAAACACAGGAAAACTCAAGTCCTTCACACATTACTTTTAGTTACTATGCTCTTTTGACCATGACACTGCTCAGGGACTGCAGCATGAGGTCGGAATATTATATTACCTGGTCCTGAAAAGAGGGTTAGCAACCACTGTTCGAGTGACTCATCTAATCCTCCCCATGTCTTCACTTGTACAGCGGTGCTGGTCAAAGTCCAGCAGGCCTACCGGGCCCGCACTCGAGATGTTTGCTGCTGCTGATGCAGCCCCAGCACGGTCAGAGGCAGGGCCACCAGCTCCATTCAGTCACTGCTGGTTCGTGCTGAACCCAAGTCCTCCTCTTGGTGCATGGAGTCTATGCCTCCTCCGCGCCTATGCAGCGGGAGTATGAGATGCAAGTGGAGGACCTGCCATTTCTTCATAGAGAAAACGGTGAGTATGTTTGTGGTGATGAACAGGGAGAATTAAGTGGATTTCGGCTTCCGTGGGTAGAAGGAGGGGCCCGTCCGTTCACAGCTCTTCATCCAGTAAATCTCCACAGGGTTCGGCGCCAACAGCTAAGCAGCTTAGCTGGAAAGCTGGCAATAATGAGCTCTAGTTGAACAGGATCACTTCATAGTTCTGCCCCCAGGAACCCAAAGTAACTGTAGCAAACAGACACTGGCTCCGGAATCATGAGCTAGGAGGTGGAACACAGTCGGATTCTCCCACGCATTTGCATTTGTTAAGTGACCTTGGGCAAGACATTTCATGTGTCCATTTTCTGAGATTTCACTTTTCCCACCCATTAATGGGGGATCCATCTAAATGAGTGTTCTCTTTTTTTATTATTTATATGTTAGAAAGTCACAGAGGTAGAAGAAGTGAGCCATGGAAGAAGAGAGTGCTGGGCTGTGTGGGTTTGGGAAGCAAGTCACAGAGGCAAAAGAAGGGCTCTTGGAGCTCAGGAGAAAGAAAGACAAAGAAAACACGCCTGGGGGAGGAGAGGGGGAAAGGTGAGGCTGAGAGAGAGAGAGAGAGAGGTCCGGAGCACTCTTCTAAATGAATGTTCTCAACACCGGCTGTCATGTGAAGCACCCAGTTTGCCTTTTCAGTGTCCAGCCTCATTTCCATAAATGCTGATTTATGTGGTTCGCGGTGCAGCCCGGCCACAGGTATTTTTTTAGGCTCCCCAAATGCTTCTAAGTGGAGTCAGTGCTGAGAACCATATGTCTGCATGGGTGGCTCCCAAGTGTCCATGTGCCTGTGAGTCAGCTGGGGACACTGACCAAACGCAGAGGCTGCCCCCACAGCGGAAAGCCTGGGGCTCTGCATTTCCAGCGTGGTCCCGGGATCACACTTGGAGGGGCCGTCTGCTTCCCTACTCTGGGACGAAGTTTGGAAACTGGTGGACCAGAAGCCACAGGCCACAGATAATCTGCACACATTTTTTTTTTTCTTCCCCCCTCCACCCCCCACACATGCATTTTTACAGTTTGAATTGCTTGACATCACTTAGAAATCAGGATACTTTGCATAACTCGGATGCTTGGCTTTGAGAACCGGAAGGTCTACAGCCCGAGGCCCTCGTTCTCATGTGGCAACAGTCAGCTGAGGCTAAGCAGTTGCTGCCCCTCTATGGGGCATTTGTTCTCTGGCCACCATGATCCCCACACTGACAGGTCACATTCACACTCGACCTTAGCAGGCTCTAGGAGTGTGTCCCTGTTGTAGGATGATGGGGACCCTTGAGGTGAGTCCACTTCAAAGAAGAAGGCCAGGATGTGAGGTTTAAGGCAGAAAATCGCAGAGTTTTATACAACATGACTGTTTTGTAAAAGATACCTGTACAAAAAACAACGTGTAGAAAAATATAGAATATCTGCACGCCTTGGAGTAGCCACTGATTTCTTAAAAAGAATGAAAAAAGCACTACTTACAAAAGAAACAATGGATATATTGGAACACATTAAAATTAGAAACTTCTGTTAATCAAAAGATTCAATTAAAAGAATGAAAGATAAGTGACAGAGTAGAAGAAAATAGAGACAGTATGTATAATCATCAAAGAACTAGAATTCAAAATACACAAAGAACACTAATAAATCTTTAACAGGTAGCCAACCATCTATAAAAAATGGGCAACAGGCTTAAATAGGCATTTTATTAAAGACGGTGTCCAAATGGCCAATAAATGTATAAATACTTTTTAAAGTTCATCAGGGAAATGAAAATTAAAATCACAGTGAAACATCTGTACATAGACTGGCTAAAATGAAAAAGACAGACAAAGCCAAGTGTGTGTAAGGTTACACAGAAACCAGAACTCCATACATGACAAGTGTGAGAATACGTTCTAAAAATTTTCACTTTGAAAAACTGTTGGACAGTATCAATATATACATACGCATAAGATTCAGCAATTCCATTCCTAGGTATATACCCAAAATAGTACATACACATGTTCACTAAAATACATCTACCAAAATGTTCAGAACAGCAGTATCAATAACAGCCAAAACCTGGCAACAATGCAAATATCCATCTACACTAGCAGGGATAAGTGAATGGTAGAATGTACAGTTAAATACAATGCGGCAACGAGAATAAATAAATTACTGTTGGGAGCCGGCTACATGTCTGACAGAGTCCACAGAGCCTGGAGGTCTTGAGTCAGAGACTCGACCTCCCCCACAATCTCCAGGACTTAGGCTTGCATTGTGTTTGTGCAGTTCGGGGCTAAGTGTGACCCAATGTACCTTGAAATACCTGAGATAACAGACTGGGTGTTCCTGTTATACACGCAAGGCAAACTAATTCTATACAGCATTGTTGTAGCCCTGGGCATTATATCAAGAAGATCCTATTTTCTGGTATCACTGAACTTTTGCTATAAGGTATAAAAGGCCTGTAATAAAGCATATCAAGGCTGAGCCTGCTGAGGACAGTCCTCCTGATCCCATATTGATCTCAGGAACTCTGCTCTCCAGGCTGGTTCCTGGCAAATCACTGCCACAGGAAACAGCATAGATAGATATAGTCACCTTGTGGAAATTCAACAAGCTGTACCCATCTAACTTTACATACAATTCTATAAGAATGGGAAATTTTGATAAGAGGATGAATTTTAAAATATTCCGGGCATCTTTTTCTGCCTACTCTACCTCAGACTATCTGGGGGTAGACTGGAGATGTGTGGTTTTTGTTTTTGTTTTTGAATGTATGGCCCCTAGCAGGAACTGAACCCAGGACTCTCTGGTCCGCAGGCCGATGCTCCAACCGCTGAGCCAAACCGGCCAGGGCAGAGACGTGTGTTTTTAATTAGTGCCTTTGGGATTGATCATGTCCTCTCAAGTGCATAGAGACAGCCAATTCACCGGATGCCTTGGGACCTGTGAGCCAGGGGTCAGTTCCTTGAGAAACAATAAGGAATCTGAAACACGAGAGTGAGTTTTACAATAGGAAGAGCAGTAAAGAGTTGCACAGAATTCACAGTTTACAGAGCTTTTCCACATGTGGAATCACATTTTGACATGAAGGAATTTCGAGACTTGAGCTGAGTGTTGAGAAACAACAAGACACTATTGAAGGCAACAAAAAATGATCATAGAGAATAAAAGTACTTTAGGGAAAATATAAGATTTTTTTATGACTGAAAAGAAATAACCCAAAAGGTCCATGGTGACTATTGCTGAGTCATTTTAAATGATCTTTCCTGTACTTTTGTCTACTTTCCAAATATCCTGTAATGGGCCTGCCTTTTTTTTTTTTTCCTAACACTAGGGGCAGGTAAAGCAGTGGCTAGGAGCAAAGACTGTGCCATCAGACAGTCCTGGACTCAAACCCTGGCTTCTTCATCAGCCATGTAACCTCTGTGAATGCAGTCTATGTGGTTCCGATGAGGCTGACTCCATTCATCCCTAGCTCCCAAAGCGGTCAGGTGACTCACATAAGTCAATCAAGTTCTGCAGTGCTATAGCCATGCAACCAAAGTTAACCCAATGTAATTGGTCATAGGGCCCTCATCAGAACTCTTAAGGAAGAGAAGATTTCTTTTCAATGAACTTGAAGCTGTGACTATGACAGCGTGGAGCTGTGGAGCCCACCACAGAGAGAGAGATTGTCTGAGGTTGAGGGCAACCCAGAAAAAATAGAGCTTAGGAAAGATCATTTCCCAATTACGTCAGTTGGCTATCTTGATCAAGCCATACCTGAAGCAAATAACCTCTGGACTTTTCATTTATGAATCAATAAATTATTTTCTGGAAGCTAGTTTTTTTTTTCTTTCTTGTTATTAATTAGAAAAAGT